CTGATGTTGCTGTCATTCGGAACCGCTACATCGATCAGCACGATCAGCACTGGCATTGTCCTGTTGGACTTGGACAGGCTGTGTTGTAGAAAAAAGATGCTCAAACAAAATGTTGACTTTCAAGCTCGTTGGAATAGTACAAACTACTTTTTAGATCCTTACACTAGACTTTTGCACAGTACTTCAGGTACATTTTATTTTTTATTTTTTATCTTTACGTGCGATGACATAGTCCCCTACTTTTATTTTGAAATCAAATTATCAGGAAGTGGCGCTTGACATTCGGCATGCGCATATTACCGAGGAAGAAAAGCTGCGGAGTTCAACAACCGACGGCTTAAAACTGTAAACATTAAGAGCCTGGCTGACTAATGTCTGTGGTTGGGATGGAACTCTAAGGTAAAACCCGTTTCGTACACTCTTGCTTTTTTCCTACGTAGTTGTCATTGCTTATGGTATCGGTATATACCGCTCACTACTGATTTAATTAATGTTAGCACTACAGTTTATAATATTCAATCCGTGGCTTGTGGGCTGATGCTAAAACAGCATCTCTGACGACCAGAAATAGTCTAAACGCTTTGGATTATTCTTGAATGTCGTTTATAGTTTAAATTTGTTGTCTCTGCTTGTATTAGGTTGTTTTAACGTTTGTATTGTGAAGGGAATTTCTATCTCAGTGCTAGCTGTAGCACTAGCTTTCCCACATATCCTCGGGAAGTTAAGTAGCGTTAAGAAGCTAGTCCCGATTTTCAGTTTTTTGGAACGCATTTAGCCTCGGAAGACGTTACTTCTCCTTTTATCTCCTCTTTGGCTAAGTCACATACTAACACAACTCAGCACTGGAAATCATAAATTGCCAACCAGTCTGGTAACTGCTAATGCAGCTATCAGCCAACAATTAGCGTGTCTTAGCTAAGCTACATGTCGAAGAGCTAAAAATAAATAACTCATAGAGAGCCGCCTTGTGTTAATGTAGACCGATGGAGTAATATTGGGGATATTTTTGAAATAAAGCTTATGTTAAAATGAGCCTTCTAAGCCCGCTACTGTCTGGATGAACCCACACAGCGCTTTCCATTTTGGGGTCTTGTTTTCTGACTTCGCTCTGATTAGGTTAATTTAATCTAGTGCAGCAGCAGCTGGCTGAAACACTTGACACCTCAGTGTAACCATATGACAAAAACGAGAAGGAAGAAAGAATGTGTGTGTGAAGGAGGGACTCCAGGTTTTGAATGAGTGACATCGACTGGAAGTAAGGCCAGTTGTTGTTGTTTTGTTGTTGTGTGGGGTTTTTTATTTTATTTTTTAAGAGGTTTACTTTTACACAAGAGGTGCAACCGTTAAACAATGTAATGAATTAGCTTACTTTTTTAGTTAACTGTTATTTACATGCATAAAAAAAATCTTGAGATTTAACTTCAGCTGTTCAGCTCATTTCTGTCCACTGATCTTCACTAATTACAGTAGGCTTAAGCATTTACTGCTGTCTCTTTCCATCTCGCTGCAATGGTAGCAGTGTGTTTGAAGTTTGAAACAGTGAGAGCTACTTGTAGTATGTTTGGAGATAGATAGCAGTCTGTTAACTCAACAGTTGGTGGAAGCCAGCTTAGCATTCTGTGCCACTCGTGAGACAGAGAGCTGCTGGCAGTGCTGAGATATTTATTTTTATTTACACTATTGATATTTTATTTTTAGAATCAAGTGTGTGATTTTTATGAAATGGATAAGCAGAAGAAAATGAATGAATGCTTGGATGGATTCATTCATATAGGGAAATTTAGAATGGTCATTGATGGTTGACCAGTTAGAACATAATTTTAATGTTAAAATCACTGAGGATAAGAATTTGATCATAATTTGGAGTAAAGTATGATAACTTCTTGGGTAAAACATTGTTTGGCCTAGGTGGACTGTAAAATATTGAAATCATTCCAGGGTTTTCAGAGTTTTCTGGTAAAGCCAAGATGTTCGAATGAAGTTATACTACGCAGTAAAATGG